TTTAATAAAATTAAACTTTTTAACAGGTGGTAACTCTTAAAAAAGTAGCCTATTCCCCAACGTAGGTCATTAGCTATATGTGTGTAAAATTTCATGCAAATCCGTTCAGTCTTTTCCGCGAATTACATTAATTAAATTATTTTGGCAGGTGGCAACTCTAAAAAAGCAGCCTATTGCCCAATCTGGGCCATAAGCTATATGTGCACGAAATGCCATGCAAATTCGTTCAGTTGTTTCCCCGTGATGGTTTCCCAAACATCCAAACATACAAACTTTCATGATTTGACGTGCAAGAATCCAAAAGTTAACAGATTCTTTCCTGTTGATATTTTTACCGTGAGTAACTTTTTTTATATTTAATTTTTTTAACTATGCAAAATTGTCGATGAATCAATGATGAGATCCTAAACTACTAATCCGATTGGAAAATATCGATTACGTAGAGGATAGCAAATTTATACTGTAGAAAGAAATTTGAGATTCGTCAGCTGTATAAAAAAATAATAAAATGGTAATTCTTCGGAAGAAAAATATTATAACAGTTTTATAGACAATTGCATGAACTGCACTTTTGTCTCACCTATTTTTGTGAGAAACGTTACCGTTTTACTTAAAAATGCAAGAAATCAATTTATGTGACCTTTGACCCTGAATAATTTTTTTTGCAGACGTGGCATCGATGGGGACTTTTGACATTTCATTAATAATGGTGTTCGCAAGACTCGTACCAATTTTCAGCTTTATGCGAATTATTGTAACCTTGACACCTCTATGCTGTAATCCGAATGTTCGTAGCTACGAATTCGTAGCTCCGTTCCGAAAATTCGAAAATTGGCATGCTGTAATCCGATCGTAACTATCAACGGCACTGCCAGCTAAAAACGTGAAATTCGAAGTTCTTAATCAGCTGCTTTGACAGAAACAAATCAAAATAAATATAATCGCAAGTGAATAGTGAAAGTAAAAAAAATTAGTTTTATCATTATTTGAAAATACTTTTCCTTAATTAAGTGTAATACAAAGGATTCAGTGGCCGGTGCACTTTTATTCCAGGAGGAAGAACAGCTAATAGTTGCGTTAATATACAAAGGAGATTGCTAGGAGATTGTTCTGATCCATTTAGCTTAATGATAAAATGTAAGCTCCCTCCTTTTAAGGGCCTCCATTTCACTAGATATTGTGCCGTTTTAATTCTTGGAACGCTTTCCCAAAATTCCACCACATCTTACGCTCCTTTTACAAAGCCTCGACCAATGTCCGGCCTGTCGGTCATGCATTCCACCAGTTTTTCGTATTGCGAGCGATTTGTTGTGATCTTCGATCTGATAATTTTGTAAACATTTAAGGCCTTATTCTGTATCACGAACGATAGGCAAAACGAACGATTCGTCTGCAGACGACAACCTCTCTGATTGCGATTTTACGTTGCAATGGTCTCGGTTGCGTTTAAACCGGCTAAAATGATGCCGCCGGACTAATTTTTGAAGCATTCCTCTGCAGACGAATCGTTCGTGTTGCCTATCGTTCGTGATACAGAATAAGGCTGTTAATAATAATTTTTTTTCTATTCACACTTCAACTTATGTACATACATATTTTTGCGTTTACACTCTTTATTTTATTGATATTTTAAAACAATTTGTTTCGCTCCGACACGAGTAACTATTCATACAAAATTTCCGACAAATACATAAAAATGACAGCTACGTCGGACTCAGGCATACCAACATTACGAATTTCGAAGATGGCCTACGAATTTCGAAATTACGATACGACAACGCGGATTTCAGCATACCAATTTTACGATTCGTAGCAAAATCGAATCTACGACGGATTACAGCATAGGGGTGTGAACCGGGCTTACATAGTTAAATTAACCGAAAACAAGAGTTTAACTATGAATTCATATTCACAGTCGCATAGTTAACTATGGAAATTCATGTCGTCTAAAATTATACAACTTCTAAAACTCTTGAATCTTTCTATACAAATGTTAACAAGAGGTTAATTGTGGGGGCAGGCAGAGCATTTTTGTAGTGTGCGTGCAATTGATGTCAATGTGTGCGTGCGAACAAGTCGTGCAGTTGAATGAAGCTTTCGCTGCCTTCTCAAGCATAGCGTGTATGTATACGCGAATACGGCGCGCAGTCGCCCGCCGGGTAGACGCTGTCCAGCTGTGGTTTAAACTCTTGTTAACTAAGTTCTGTCAAAAAAGAATCGATAACTAAACCCTTGGCAGTGGTTAACTGCGCACTGTGAATTCGGCCCTTAGGAAATCAGCCAAGAGTTACATATTGTTATTTGGACAAGACCTGAAGTGAGAAACACTCTGTTATCAAAATGTAAAGCCATCTCAAAGATAAGGAATCATAATAACCCTAAAATAATTAATTTTTTAACATATATATGTTTAAATTTAGCTATATCTGCTGAAAATAACTCTAGTATCGGTCATGTTTTATATCTCCCTGCAAGAAATTTTGGCTCAATTCAGGGTAATAGTAAGCTGGACCGCTTTGTAACTACCCTTAAGTTTTTATGTATGAAAACAATCATTCAGTTGGTCCTTTCTTTGAAAAAAAACTAAGCAAATATAAAAATTCCCAAATAAAGAATGTCGTTCACAAAAGCAAGAACACATATCGTCGTTTAAAGTACAAAACCGTGTATCGTCATTCTGCAAAACCGCGTAACTGACATCGGCTGCCAAAAATTAGATTTGCTCACACAAGCGCTTGGCTCAATCCTTATCCATTCGTCCTGAAATATACTAGCCATAAATGCGATTGCTTTATAAAAAAGAGAACCATTTTGAAATATGAGTGCTTTTACGCTCTAGAAAATAATTTCTACAACTTCACATGCGCGGTTTTGCATTTTGTTGATACGCGGTTTTGCACTTTAAACGACGATATGTATGTACATATGTATATATGTATATACTAAACCTGACACAAAATATTTTGCTTGTATAGTCTTCTGTTCTCTTTTCACTGCAAGTTGAGTTATTTTAATATCTATTGCAAAATTTTATAGACAAGACTAAAAAGTAGAAAATAAATAAAATAAAAAAGATTTTAAATATACCACCCTTTTATAAATGGACTAAACATTAGAAAATAATATATCTCAATCCCGTAGAATTTGTTTTGATAACTTTTGATTTTGAAATTTTAGCAAAAGTCATTATAAACAATTTATGAGATTGAAAACGAAAACGTGCAGCGCATGCAATACAAAGCATTAGATTTAATTGACAATAGTCAAACCGCATAACATACACCTAAAATTTCTACAGGGAAAGTACAAATTTGAGATCGATTTTAAGCGGTCGTTATTCATATACCCACATACATACATATATTACTCTTTATATAAATTCAGGTCTATTACATGCGCACCACGTTTTTCATTTTCAATTTCATAAATTGTTTATAATGACTTTTGCTAAAATTTCAAAATCAAAAGTTATCAAAACAAATTGTGTGGGAATGAGAAATATCATTTTCTAATTTTTAGTCCATTTATAAAAGCGTGGTATATTAAAAAGCTTTTTTATTTTATTTATTTTCTACTTTTTAGTCTTGCTGTATAAAATTTTGCAATAGATATTAAAATCATTCAACTTGCAGTGAAAAGAGAACAGAAGACTATGCAAGCAAAATGTTTTGTGCTCACGTTTAGTATATACATACATACATACATACATATAGTAGCAATTAATTTCATTTAAAGAAATGGCGTGTCGTCCATTTCCGCTGTAGCGTATGCAGTGCATATTTCTAGGTGCAATATATTACTACTTCCGGCGAGGCGACATCTACCTCCAGAGTTTAAAATGATACCAGGCGACGAGGTTGATGTCTAGACTTTTTTATAGGATCTTTGCAACGCAAAGGTTTTATAGCTATAAATGGTGTCTGGACACACAACATTGCAAGTTGATAAAAGCGTTGTAATGATATATATATTTTTTATTTAATACACCCTAAGACCTCTGCTGCATCTGGGACAGTTTTTAAGCGCTAGGCATCGCGATTCACCATTTGTTTTGGTAAACGATGACGGCATTTTTCCCCATACTATTTTTTAAGTATTTCCTGTTCCGTGGTTTACATTGTGGTGGTTCACACTTGTCTGGTTAACAGTTTATCTGGTTATGTGGCTATATTTTTTATTCAGTTTACATCAATAAAATACACTACAGAAAAATTATTTTTAACCAGATAACCTGATAACCAGGCAAGCGTGAACAACCACATTATATTTCTTTTGATATCCGCCCATAAATGTCCAACTATTTAGGCACAAATATTGAAGAAATAAATTTTTTTAGTATTTAAAAATACAATTGTTATGTAACATCTAACGCAATTGAAACAAATGAAATCAACGCATAAATTAGCTAAATAGTTTTGAAATTAGTCAGAACACATAAATTTTTTTGGAAACGTGTTTTTATGATATCAAATGCACTCCCACACACAAAACTCATCGATATTTTCAAAAATACGATATTTTTGGTAGTTTTTAGAACATACCTGTAAGTAGTTTATCAATCATATCAATCAATCAATAATCAATTTTAAATTTTTTCTTTGTTATGCTATTCCATATTCCAAGTATTAAATTTCTTAGTGTTGCGATACCGCTAAACTAATACTTTTTCGATGTACACTCTACACAACAGTTAGAAATCGGCTATCAGTGAGTAGGAAACAAAGCACATACATTTTATAAAGTTATAAATTAATATCTGTACCGTCCACCATATAGTTTTTTTATGAAATCATTTTGTTTTCGGTTTTGAAGCTGTGCATGTAGGGGTTTTGCCTTTGGCAACTAAAAACGATTTACTCATATTTATTGACAATGACATTCATCCCAAAAATGTATTACTAATAGTTCCTATATTGAATTGGAGAAATTTCAATTTATATTATTTAATATAATATAAAACTAAATACTTGAACATATTACACTGTGTAATTGTTTCTTACCTCTCTTTGCAGTTTTCTCCGCTCTATTTTAAGTTCAGTTTCTGCTTTTTCAGCCGCTTCAGCTGTGCTTTTATAGCGTATGACTTGTGTTTCTGAACGAGCTAAACTAGCCTGTAAGCTGGCGATTTCCTGTTCAGCCTTCTGCAGTTTATACTTATAATCTGATATTATTTTATTCGCCTCCCCTGATAAAGGAACATCAATATAACTCAACAAGGACAATTGCAAAAATACCACATAATTACTTTGTGCTTCGTAGTCTTCATCGGACCCAGATGGTCCGTTCAGCGAATTTGACCGACCCTTGCCTTGACTCTTGTAGTTCTCTAATGTTTCCTGCAGTTGCTGCACTTCCGCCGAAAGCTGCTGTTTTTCCTCGCTGAATTTTTTCAGTCGCACATCTAAAGAAAAAAAAACAATAATAATAAAAATAATTAGAAGGACGACTTCCCAATATCCCCAGCGATTTACACATACCCAATGAACCTTGCACGGAACCTAACAGCTGAGCATTCTCTACACTGACTAGAGCACGTTTTGCATCGGTACCATCTTCATTCTCTATGGCCACAATAACTAAACCCTGATCCGCGATAAGTTTATCCCGTTCAGTGAGTTGGCCTTGCACCAGTTTAAGCTCTTCACTTAACTTATCCAAATTTCTCTTCAACGCATTACAATCTCGGGACTTCTCCTTGAATTCCCGCTGAAGTTGCGCATATGTTTCTTCCACTTCCTCCAACTTATCTTTCAACAGTTGTATTTGATACGTTTGTGAGGCACGTTCATTATCCAACTGAGCATTGGCTATCATTGCTTTTCGAAATCTCTCTTCAACATCCTGAAAAAATAGAAGTGGCGCATCCCACAAGGTAATTTAGGTAGGCCTTCTTAAGTGAAGCCTTTCTGAAAGGCCTACCCAAGAAGGGCTGAAAAAAGTGCTTGCCTGCATGGCTTCTAAAAGGTCTTTCTATTTACAATTTACGTGAATGCGTAAATTTATATTATCTAAATTTAAATATGCATTTTATATTGCACCAACACATATTTGATATGAACCTTAAATAAATACCTTAAAGAAGTATGATTTTTTGGAATTAAAGAAGCAGCTTCTCCAAAAGTTCTTCTGAAATACGTCCTACAAAAGCCCTTCTGCAGCCGGATTCCAACTTTCGCTATAGCTAAAACTCCATCGCCAAAAAATGCTGAATGAATTTTAGATGTTCTCATAAATCGATTAATTATAGCTATATTGAAATTCTTAAATTTAAAAAAATATTTCGGCGTGTTGTCTTCATAAAACACTTAACTGTCCTCCAATATTATCTATAATAAAAATGATAATGCTGCTTTGTGACACATTTACTTAAAAGCCTTGCCCACTGACCGCTGTAACTTCCTGAAAGGGATACGGACTTTCTTGCTTTTTTTTGTGAAGGCTGTTCCTTAATCTTCTTTGCGAATATTACTTATTTATTACAATTTTACAAAATATAAAAACTTTTCCGCATAAACACAAAGTTAATTGTTTATTTGCAAATAACTAAGTCACGCAAATAAATATTGATTAGTGTATTATTTGCAAATAAGCGCAAAACGTTGCTATTAGGTTTATGTTCTTTTTCGATGGTCATCTCATTGTCCTTTTTTAAACCAACGTTGGCATTTTTAACTTTATTTTCTTTTTTATGGTCATGTGATTGACTTTTTATCATCAGGCAATACTGAAAAAGAAGTTTTCACCTTCATATAAACCAGGGCTGCAAACCACTCCAAAAATCGGTGTATTCGGTTCAGTGGTTAGAATCACTTAGAAAAAGCTTGTACCGGTTCAAGAACCGGTTCACGAGTATCTCTGAACCACGGTTCGGTTCGGTTCAAATGGTTCAATTTCTTTATGCTAAAGGATACAAATATTACAAAAATATGACAAATCCATAATATGAATATTAAAGGCTTTGTTACTGAGATCAAATTCAAATATCCACATATATAGTGTAGGGATTCGATATTCGAAGCTTCGAGATTCGAGTTTAATCGAATTTTAGTTCCAAAATGGCGAATTTTCGAAATCGAGCTTTGGGGTGCTAAAATTCGGATAAAATCGAATTTTTCTAGAAAAAATCGAATTTCGTGTTTATTTTCAAAAAAGCTAAACTAAATTTCGCATAACTGTTTGTAGCATAAAATCGAATTTCAACCCCCTAGAATAGTGGTGGAAAAATAAATAGGGACACGACATTTTATCAAGTTTTCTTTTGTTTATTAATGTTTAATTTTTTAACCATATAAGGTCCAAGTTTTAAACTTTGTGAAAAAATTATAAATATTCTGCAAAGTTTCATCTAAACTGCAAACATTTTAATAAGAATTTCTAGGAAAAATTTTAAAGTTTTAAGTTGATTATTGACAATTTTTAATTTTTTTTAAATTTTTAAATTTTTTGTATGGAAGAAAATGCATAATACCTTCAACAAAAAAATTATTTAAAATCAACACGATTAAGGCGAAATTAGACACATTTTAATAAACTTTTTAAGGTTTGGACAAATGGTGAGCCTAGCTAGTCGGGTAGACAAAACAGCTTAATCAGAATTTTGAATTGATCCTCAAAATCTTGGCTTAATATTGAAACCCTAATTTACGGTAGGTTGGAGCCATGATTCAACAACTACAGGTTGTAGCAATCGTACAAAAACAACATTTACCGTTGGTATGAACTCCTTGTGTCATCACCATCTTTTTTATCTACTCATATTCGTGTGTATATGTATACCCTGCATACCAGGATTTCAGAGAATTATGAAAGGTTTCACAATTTTTTTTAAGAATTTTCTTTAAGAAATCGTACAGAAATTTCTTTACTAGTTCTTATCAACCGCCTCATATGTTTTTCTTTACAGATTTCTAAAAGAATCGTAACAAATTTCCGACACTTAAAGATTTCGGGAGCATTTGTTTGCAGGGTATATATATACGTATATGTGTATGTGTACGCGGATATGTAAATATAGCAAAACAGACTATAATTTGACACAAGCGTGCTCATAAGAAGAAGCATAGCTTCTATCGCTATCACCTGTAATTGATGCGCCTTGGTTGGAGCTTACACTATGCAGGTCTATGTACAAGTATACCTATGGTCAAAATAATATGAGTGCGGCTTTTGACTATTTTTCTTTTGTTGGTTTAATGTCCACAAATTTTTTATAAAAGTATAGCTCGTTATATAATAAAAAGCACATAAATTCAAATTTCAAACTTTGTATGAAAATTTGAAAAACTGCCAACTTCAACAACGTTGCAACAAAGCTCCAAACTTTTCAATCAGAACTAAAAAAATTAAGTTTTTGAAATTTGGTTTTGCTGGCGTTGTTAAGCATTTTTTTCATATAAGAAAAAAAATCAAGCATTCTTTATATGGACGAAATTACAACTCGCGGAGTTGCCATTACACAAAAAAAAATTTTGCAGTTTTACTATACCGGTTGCATTTTTAGACAAATTTGTGTATTACAAAACTTGAAAAATGCTGTAGTGGATTTTCATTTTGAACGGAACCGAACCACTTTTTTGGGATGGGTTTCGGTTCGGTTTTGGCATATAAAAATAAGAACGGTTCGGTTCATGGTTCGGTCCGAAACCCGAAAAAAGCGACGGTTCGGTTCAAAACCGGTTTGCAGCCCTGATATAAACAGTAAGTTAGGTATTTTCAAACGTAGTATTTATTTCCATTATTTATCATCATTGTAATGGAAACAAATTTTGACAGCTGCAGTTGCTGCACAGCGACACTTGCGGCCGGATAAGGTACTAAAACTTAGGATAGATAATTTTTAGCGACAGGGAGGCCAGAATCACAATTTTTGGAGATCGGCAAAAATTCGGATACAATTTTAGCTTTAGCATTTTAGCATATTTTAGCATTTTAGCGATAGCGAATGTTGGAATCCGGCTGATGGAAGGCCTTTTATGGTAGCGAAAGCAGAAGGCCTTCAATTTGTGCCACTCCATATAAAAAATAAAGGAATGTAGAGTGGAAGGCCTCATGACTCTCAAGAAGGCCTTTTGGAAGGCCTTATAGCTCCTGAAATTATCTACTGGGATACTAAATATGTGAAAAATTATTATTAAAGTGAAACTTCTTTGTGCTCTGTAAGATTAAGATTACGATTATGGTTAAGCTTAAGATTAAGATTAAGACTCAGACTAAGGATAAGATAAAGATTAAGGTAGAAGACTAAGCTTAAGATTAGGATTAAGATTAAGCATAAAATTAGGATAAAACTTAAAATTAGGATTAAGATTAAAATTTAAATCAAGATTAAAATTAAGATTTAGATTAAGATTAACAGGTCTATCCCAAGTATGTTGTAAACAGCAAAATGTATTACCCCTTGTCACCCCGATTCTAGGTACCTACGTAATCCAATTGCAGTCAAAATATTTTACAATTCAGCTGCATATGAATATTTGTGGAAATTCTTTTATTGCATATTTCACTGGGCAATATTTTGTTATTATGACATGGTAACAAAATTTACCGGTTAGAAGAGTGCACAGAATGCGAAAAGGGTTTAAAAATTGTCAGGAACTTTATTTACCAGTTACAGAATGTTTGTTACTAGCGCAGAATAGACCCCTAAGACTAAGATAGAGATTAAGCTTTAGATTAAGATTGAGGCTGATATTGAAAATTAAGATAATTCCCATAAGGCCGTTTTACAGTTAACTACAGGCTTTCAGTACAAAAATTGAAAGTTAACTTGCGAATTTGAGTTAACCCCCCCACTGTGAAAACGCCACTTATGTGGAAAAATACTGTAATAATACGGTGAGCTATATGCTTCATAGGAAGAAGTTTCACATCAGACGCGCGCGGAAGCCACACACAACTTTTTTTGGCTTACTTACCTTGAGTTCGTGTCGTATATCTCGCAGGCTTCGTCCTTCCTCTTCTAATGAATCCTCACTGCTGCGCCGTGAAGACATTGAGCTAGCGCGTGTGCTGTTAAGCACCGCACCCAAAGGCGAGCTTCCTACCCCGGTGGCAAGTCGTGATCGCGACAATGGATCGATGCCGGATACATTGTGCATGTCGAATACCCGGTCCGCATTCTGCTCCTGTTCCTTTTGTTGCCGTTCCAATTCTCGCATTCGTATTTCCCGTGCCTCAGCGCGTGCTTGTCGGCGAGCAGCCAAACGGGCCTCAGCCTGTAATTGAAATACAAAATGCATGCATATTAGCTCCATCCATGTTCTTATGTTGCAACTTAAAGGATATGAATGCGAATTTTATGTCAAAAATTATTCTACAAATACGAATATATTTAGAAACGTATTTTTATAGAAAAAATGGTTAGGCAGTTTATAACCCATTAAAATTCCAGTGTAATATTATGCAAGCTTGAAGTAAAGCATTGTTCACTCAAAATCAGTACGCATAAAATGGGTTATATCTTTTTAACAGGTTTTCAGAAAATAATATTTAATATATGAAAAAATAAAGGGAAGTATTCCACTATAGATAGATGTTAGCGAAATTTCATATTTTGCTTGTATAAGTAAATAACAGACAATTTCTTTGATAATGATAAAATTTTTCTGAACACCCGTTCTAGAGACTTGAGTAATCAACTTGTTCCACTAACCTATCTTTAGTTTATGTTTTTTCATATTTCGCGCATCTCTACTTATTTTGTTTTGAATAGATACCGTGCATTTTTTGATTTGACGTAAATAGGACTTATTTTTAAATTGAAGAGTTCCAGAACTTTATTCATATCTTTGGCTTCAAACCGATTTAAAGTTACCTGTGAATAATTAATTTTCTTTAAAACCTACCAAAACTTTACTGAAGGTCTAAAGTAAAAGATACAATGGCTTAACACTTTATGCAAGCGCTCCTTCCAGCATATTTCTGTGGTCATATGGCCCTTTACGGAGTCTGATCGAGTTTTAATAAGTCTGTTTCCATTCTCTCGTCATTTCATATAAAACTTCTATAAATTTAATTTTAAGAGGATATCACCCTGTTTATTTTTAGCTTAAAACTTTTAAGGTGGGAGTCAAGTTTTAAACATGTTTTTTAGTCATTGCTAAAAAATACCACATTTGGTGTGAATATTTGGGGTAAAGTAAACGGATGCGATTTTTGTTATCAAATTTATTTAATCTAACAGAAATATATATATATTATAACTCGATAAGGTTTAAGTCTTGCCATAGCTTCCATTCGCTGAACTGTGGATAATCGTTTTCCAATTCTTTCGCGCGATCTTCTTCTGATAAGCCGATTTTTTTTATAATTGAGGTAAAGAGCCTTATCCTTAAGCTGGTGCGAAATGATTTTTTTTGATGATTAGCTTACTCTGTTAGTTAAGCATTGATTTTTGGAGGGAAATTAGAAGTTTTTGGTATATTTAATTTTAATTGGATTTTTGATCTCGAGAATGTCGGATTTTCAACGAATTTGTTCAACATTATTTTTTGAGCAGCCACTTCCAACACGAATAAAACTGTCAAATTAAAAGCCAGTACTATGAAATTTAAACCTCATAATGGTAGATCTATTGTCTAACGATCTGCATTGCAACTTTTTAATACATCGAAGCAATTGCTGTACAGGAATTGCTGGAACGCTTACCGATTTTGAGTGAACAATGCTTTAGCTCAAAAACATTGTTGGTTTTTTAGAAATCTTTTGCTAACGGTATTACGCATTTTCTTCCATACAAAGCCTGTTCGAAACTTTTTATACGAAAGAAAGGATTTTGAGCTACCGCAAACTTGCAACAATATTGAATGGGCTATAAAATAAATAAATAGTCAAAACTTGTGCAGAAGTTTAAATGCGTAGAGGAGCATAGTATAGGAGTGAAATGTGGTATAGTCGCCTATCTTCAATTATAGCAAGTCTACAACGTCTGTTATCACCTTAACATGTGATGACTTAAAAAAACGGGGTTATAATACAGATATGAAGTAAAACAGTTGGTTCCCTTTAAGTCGCCCAAAACATGTGATCCCGTATTTTTAAGCTTCTTTTTAACTATTTAGAAAGAAAAAACTGTCAATATTGCAAAGTAAATTTTCTGTTTCATTTATCAAGTGTCGGATAATAGAATTATTGGATTAGCATCAAGAGTTTACAGGGTGTGCATATCCTCAGTGGTTAGCGTCACTGGCTTTGCACATCGATGATTCGGGTTCGATTCCTGCTGAAGTCTAGAGAAAGAAGTCTGATGAGGAGATGTGGTGATCTCCGAAATAGGAGCTAAAACTTCTACCGGTTAGACTTTGTTGATTTTTTCGTTTTTTTCTAAAAAAAAAAAATAAGAATCATAGCACAAAGCTCAATAACACTATTCAAATAGAAAATTATTTTAGATTTTATATGAGTTTGTTTGGAACACAAGAGGTTGGTTAATTCATTAGAATACCACATTACCCACCATACGTAAATTTTTAATTACTTGAACACCACAGTAGGAGACATCCATATATGTAAGGTGAGCAGAATTTTTTAACATTCCAGGAGGGCAAATTCTCAATTGAAAACACAATTTTTTTTTTTACATAAATAAATAACGAATAAATTAACAGTTCAAAGTTTCTCTAAACACAAGTCAGGCAAGTTAATAGTAAACTGCGTTGCATAATTATAAGACCACCACATATTAACAAGTTTTGACTATTTAGTTTTAAATAATTTAACTATCATTGTATTATACCTTGTTCTGACCGACATCGAAAACATGTTTTCGTTGGTAAAACTGGTTTTCGACCTAAAACTTGTGTTTTCGTCCATGTAAAATCTGTCAAACGAAAACTAGTTTTCGCTGAAAACCACTTGAAAACTCACGTTCCACTCATTCCAATCGGTGTCTGCACTAGTTTTTTTCGATTATTTATCGAAGTGGAAGTCATATTTTATCTACTTTAATACGTCATTTCGGATTTATTGTTAAATGGCTGGCCAAAATAAAGTAAGAATGGAGGTAAAAGGTTGTTAATGAAAATAAATTGAAGGAAAAGTATTTTGGTTTTGTTTTTGTGTAGCAAAACTGTAAACAAAGGATGAAAGAAATGTCAACGAAAACACCAACAGTCGGTGTGAACAGCCTTCAGCCCACAATCCCAAAACTCGTTTTCAAGGTGTTTTCGTTGTCGGTCAGAACATGGTATTACTTGCAAAAGTAATTAATTGCTTTTGTTCTTCGTCTTTCGTCAAAGTTCGATTATAATTTTGTATCAATGCTATACCTCGTTCAGCAATATCATTACCATATTTAATACTCTTAATCGTCCCCTAAGACAACCAACTTCAGGGTATTTTTTTAGAGAATTTAATGCCCTACAAGAATATGCCCAGAAAAAAACTTGTATCCCTCTTTTATAACATTTTTAATGGTTCAGAATTTACACCATTTTTAATGAAAACAAATTTTTTTTACATGTTATTTACATAGAATTTTCCAAATGCCACCGACACCTTTTAAAATAGAAATAAAAATGTTTCCAAATGGGAGAATTTCCTTCTCAGTAAATAGGTAATTTTAAGGCCATAAATTCGCAAGGTTAGTTATTTTGGATCGTCCTAATTACTCGTTTAAAGTAATAAGTATAAGTGACAAAATTTCTCGGAAAGCCCGCCCCTCCCCAAAAAAAATTCTGCATCCGCCGCTGGGCCTGTGTTATTTCAATTCAACAATTTTTATTGAGCTTGAGGCCGTTTTTAATGAAAAACTATTGTGGAAAAGCAACAATAATTAGAAAAAATGGTAGAAGTGATAGCTATATATCCTCATCAAACTTCTTCAGCGGGATTCGAACCGACGACCCCAGCTGACTCAGCCAGTTGCCTACGCACTTGTTGCTGAATATAATTGTTATAAGGCCATAAATAACAAAAACAAATTTTCTAAAATTGTTTAAGCATATTTGCGTTCCAATGCAACGAACATACTGGTTGTAAGCCATCTTAAAAATGCTTTTATCAAGATAAAAAATCCCCACACACAAATACTTTTAAAGATATATTACCAGAAAATACTGAAAGTTCGATTCAGATAGTATGCTCCTTAAAATACATTTATGCAAGTTTTATGTACAGTTTGAAATAAATAAATACAGCGTGGGGACTAATTTTTTTTTTGAGAAATAAAAGGGTCATATATATGTAGATTTTGCGAAAGAAGTATTTTATTGTTAATTTTCCACAGATTTTACTTTAGTTGTATTAATTAGTTTTTAAATTTTAATCCTTATTTACATTTGCCAGCAGTGTTTGAGAGAAAAGTTCATTTGGCACGCAAGTCTTTTTCAAGTGTATTTTTTCTTAGGCTTTGTATAAAAAAAGACAAAAACAAGAAAAACTGTATAAGGTTGGTCGAATGAATGGCCGTTAGAGTGGTCCAAAAAAATAAAGTCGGAATTTTAATGCCGGCACCCCCTAGGATTGTTCTATATCCTTATATATGCCTTATCCTGAGTTTCGTCCGAAAAAATTTCACCCGAAAATTTTTATTCCGCTCATAGTAAATATATGGAAATCAAAATTGAAAAGTGAACCGGTTCGGGGAAAATGAAACTCATGATAAGGCCAATTGTCTTTCCGAAAGAAAAATTACACTGCTTTGTCTCCAAACCAAATTTGACAATGGCTGACGGAAATTCATTCCAACCAACACCAGAACATTATTGTTCTGTCTATCTACCTACCCTCACCTAGGAATGAAACGATTCGAGTAAATACAAGTACATACTCGATACTTTTCGTTCGATACCAAGTAAGTTTGGCATCGATACTTTTGAACCAAGTACTGAGTAGGTATCGAAAAATAAGTATTCGTATCGAAACCCGATACCAAGTTAAATTTTGCTCCGAAATTTTTTTCTTTTCGTTTATGCCTAATATGATCGACCTGTGCTTTTTGGCAACTTAATTGTCAACGAAAACGGCGAGAAGGCGCCAAAGTCGACATAATGCAAAGTATATACCATGAAATTACTTCACCAAAGTCGAGGATTTGCAACTTTTACACGGCCAATTGCTCGAGTGGAAGTGTGAAGTGGATGAATGTTCAGTACAGACGTTTTAACGCTATGTAAAAGTCACTGAGTAACTCTATTATTCTTCGCGTTGTAAATATTAGCGGGCAATACTAAAAGTAGGGGCAAATAGCTATGTTATTTGAAGAAAAGAAATAAAG